AGACCCTCATTGCTGAACTCTCAAGCTCTCCTCTCTTCAGTTTTCTTCAATCTCCAATCGATGACAGAGAAAACCCTAGACTGAGTGCGCAGAAAACAGAAATCTGGGCAGATCCGAGTTGCTTAGTTGTGCTCTGCTACCATATTATGATTCGGCCTGCCCTTGAGTTCTGTTAGTCTGATAACAGCCAAGAAGAGAAAAGAAGAAAGAAGAAAGAAAGAGAGAGAGAGAGAGAGAGAAAAGGAGAGAAGAAAAGTCTGGTTCGAATGAGAGAAAAATTACCTCTCCCATTCGGCCAGACATGTTTTATATTACTAACATAATGGAAAAAACACATGTGCCCTTACTTAAGTGAGGGACACTAGTTCTAATATAATATTACAGATCAGCAACCTCAACATAAGTATAAAGATAGAAATACCCCTACATACTCGACACTAACAGCATCTTTCCAATAAGGCTTCCCAACAAAAACCTCCAATCCTTGGAGGGATTGGTTTACCCCATACTTCCTTTACTGGAAAAGTTTGGACATTGTTGTTGGTAGGTTGCACCAGAGACTTAAAGAAAGAGGCACAGGAAAAGACACTAGAGGGGGATAAAGTCTAGATTCTACTATCTCTAAGGCCTCTTCTAAGAGCCAAATCCCAATCAAACCCAAAGTTTGACTCAAAAGGGACCAAAAAAGTAGACACAGGTTCCCCTTTATACCGGAAAGAGAAAATACAGAGGGAAATTGATCTTCCAACGGCACATCTCCCACCCAAAGTTGTTCCCAGAACTTCACCTGGTTCCCAGAACAAAGATTGGGAAATGTAAGCCAAAAAAATGCACAAACAACAATTAAATTAAAAGGACTGTATAGAGTTGGTATTTTTTTGGTAAATGGGGGAAATGGAAGTTCCCACAAAATTGAAACCTTAGAGGATAGAACCAAACAGATAAAACGTGACATAAAAATTCCAAGACACCTGGAGAGGATTCAAAAGTTACACTATCCCATTGATCCCAAAATTGTTTCTGATTAATATCAACAAAAGTACTTGAAGGTTGTGCTTTCAATCTTTCCAATGATTTCCCTAACTAAATATGATTTGCCATAAAAAAAAAATCACCTATTTCTATCTTTCAAAACAGGTCAGCATAAGACAAGATATTGTCTGTGCTGTGCATCTAATTTATCCCATATTCAGAATCTGAGAAGAACTTAGGATAACATATGTATTACAGTGGAATGAAAATTTTGACTTGCCCATTGGAATTCTATCAAATTCCAATTGCAAGAGTGGATTTTATATGTCATGCTATGTTGCCCACAACCTATGTTAAGTTTCATTTTCTTCTATATTAACTTCAGGACTGGTCTAACTCAGATAACATATAAAAGAATGGAAGATGAATTTCAAAAGGGAAAATGACTAGAAAATTCACAAAGCTTATATAATTATCCTAAACCTACCCAATTTAACATCCTCCCACTTTAGACCCTCAAGTTTTGAAGACTGGACTATTCAAATATCAAGCAAGTTCACTTCCATGCAAATATTTAGGAGATAACATTCCTCAGACTTGATGATATTTTTGTACTGCTACTTTTGATATCCCCAAAATTTCCTGGGGATATAATTTTCCAAAGACTTCATTCTTTAGTGCTGGATATCACTTTCCAACAAATAAGCAGTTACATTACATATTCACACTGTTTTTGGTCTTGACATACCAAAACATGTTGGTTGAAGGGAGACCTATTGTAGTTTTTATTGCTATGGTGATGTACGGATTCTTCCTCTGATGAGTAAAGCGTCTTATTTGGATAAGTTAATCTTGATTGCTACTGCTTCACATCCCATTTTTTGGCAGATTACCATATGCTCCGGACATGGAGATCTATTCAATGTATGGAGTTGGCATCCCCACAGAAAGAGCATATGTTTACAAATTGAATCCAGCTGCTGAATGCTGCATCCCCTTCCAGATTGATACATCAGCTGAGGATGAAAATGCGGGTAGTTGTCTGAAAGGAGGAGTTTTTTCAGTTGATGGAGACGAAACTGTACCTGTTCTAAGTGCAGGTTTTATGTGCGCAAAAGCTTGGCGTGGGAAAACTAGATTCAACCCTTCAGGCATTCGCACATTCATTAGGGAGTATGATCATGCCCCTCCAGCAAATCTTCTAGAGGGCCGGGGAACCCAGAGTGGTGCACATGTTGACATAATGGGCAATTTTGCATTGATTGAGGATATTATACGGGTGGCAGCAGGTGCTACAGGAGAAGAGTTGGGGGGTGATCAAGTTTACTCGGATATCTTCAAGTGGTCTGAAAAGATCAACTTACAGCTCTAGTCTTGGCTGGTATTGAATATATATTTATTTTTACTGCCTAGGATTATTAATGTGATACATACAGGTTCTGTTCGACCTATTTATATTTGCCTAAATTAACACTGCTTTCCAGTTTCTTGAGAGAGCCAAATGTAACTGGCTTCCCTCTTGCTTATGGAATATGGATGCAGCTAACCTTTTGATTTTGCTTATTCCTGTTTTTGCTAGAAGACCTGAAATTTGAATTTGCTTATATATGTTTATCAAAAAAAAAACTCAAGTTATGTTTCAACTCATTGCCCTGTAGGGACGAGTATTTGGGACATGGCAGGCCCGTTGATAATGATGCAGTTTTTCAAATTCAGATGAAACCTAGAGACATGAAGAAAGGTATAAATGAAAGGTTCCCAGCTTCATCTGCTTCTATTTTAGTTTGATTTTCATGGAATGTAACATTGTCAGGTTTGGCACTTGGAGGATCCCATGGTTTTGAATTCCTCTCTTATTGTTATTACTGCCATTCCTTTGCTCCTCCCTTTTCCTGGTTTGGAAAATGTGAATGATATCTAATTATTTAAAGCTGTGATATCAAGATCTGTTGTTATGATGAGGGTATAATTAATTAATGTGTATTGTTCCTTTGTTATCCTAATTGGCGACAAGCTTTACTTGGTGGAGTATGAGAGGACATGTGAACTTTTGACTTTTGAGTCCTGCATCTGTTTTGAGTGAAATAAGTATACAAAAATTTGTTTCCCCAAAATGCTTTCACTTTTATCTTTTCTAACATCTCTCTTTTTTCCCCAACATGTGAAGATTAGGCGATTTGTGTGTGTGCGCGCATGTGTTTAATTTTTGTTATAATGTGAGGTGGTTTCTACTTTATATTTATTTATAGCAGAAGCTAATGTCTGGGACGCCGGGGACACGAGAATTGTCAGCAGTCTGGGACTCCAATAACTTGTCATCTTTTTTGTCTAGCCCTCTCTTATGTAAGATCTATCTAATCTAATTCTAATGACTGGTAAGTTGTGATGGCCCCAGGCCATAACTGTAAATCTATGATTCCGGAAAGACATGGTACAGAAAGAGGCTTAAAAGCAATGGACAAACCGACAAAATGATAAAAGCTCATTTCTGCATGCTTGTTTTATTATCGAAGCCCACCCACTGTTAGACTGGACAAAAAAGGCGGGTCTTTCATATTACGACTAATCCATTGTGATCATATAATTACATGTCTACACAATACGAGGGGAGAAAGGGGTGTTTAGTAATACGAACATATGATGGCGTTTTTTATGTAACCTTTGCCTTTGCAGGTGCTAGTAGAATAGAAGCAGTTTTACCCATGCATTCTTCAATAATGGTAAATGAAAGTTCCATTTGAAGGTGCCACTCGGCTTTGCAGGTAAAGTCTCCTTCTGGCGGTTGTAATAGACACCTGAAATCGAATCCTTCTTTCATCAGGGTTTTGGGGGGTTGGGCTTTGACTTTGAGGGATGGTTGTTTGGAGCATGGATCTGCTGCTGTGTGCATGCTATGATGACATAGGGTAGATCTAGATCGGTTTGCATTGGGATCTGCTGCATACAAAACTCTATTGTATGCTGTGTGCATCAGACTAGTTCTATTAGCACTTGCAAAAAGGTTACATAAAAATTTCATCATCTTACGAAACTCTATTGTCTTTTCAAGTCTATAACATGAGCAGGCATATTGGCGTATCATCTATGTGTCAATGGACCGGTTTTGGATTGGACCCTGTCCAAACCAAAATCAATTTAGATGGATTGGATGGACCATCAAGACATTGAACTGGATCAGTCCAGATTCAATAGTCCAATGTATTTACTTGATTGGATTGGACCTGGTCCATCTGTAACAAATTTATATTAGATTGGGTTGGATTGAGCCAATATCTGTTTCATTGATAAAAGATAAGAATATAGGTGTCAATGGATCAGGTTTGGATTATAATTAATCTAAATTAAAAACAAATTTTAGCAGATTGGTTGAATTGGGTGGGCCTAGTCCATTTGTAATGAGCTCACATTGGATTGGACCAAATCTAAATTGACATCCCTGGAGATAGAGATGACCATGACGCATGAGCATTTGCCTGACAGGGACAGTGGCTGCAGCTTATACATTTAAACCAAAACTTTTTTTTTCTATTTAAACAAAGGTTCAAAGTATCATATGTGCCATACGTACATGATGTACATATCATTTTTCAGGCGTTTTCAGGGGCAGTGGGATGCCAAATAAAGTCTTGGCTGTTTGGGAAAAAAAAATGTTTTAAAGCTCCATGACAAATTGGTATGGGTATATAGGGTAAAAGAGCAATTGTAATAAATTTTCTTCCTATACCATTTATAAAAATGAGGATAGTAACAATTTTAAGTCAAAAAGCCCGATTTTACTTTTTCTTTTCACCATCTATGATTTTTGTTTTTTCAGTAATTTATTTTCAATGATAAAAAATGAGAATACAAACTGTTAACATGGTTGTATATTGATTTTACTTGTCATATTTACCTTCAACAATTTTTGTTTTCCAATGTTCTTTTTTGATCACTCAAGTATTTGATCTTATCATCTTTACCTTGTTGCTACATACTATTTTCATTTAATTCATTGCAACTGTCCATGAATTCTCATCAATTACACACATGACACATAAGGAGTTAAGGACTGTTAAATGGTGATTGGAGATCTCATAACTAGGAATGGCAATGGGGCAAAGATCATATTCCCCGTCCCCAATCCCCACCGGGGATAAAATTTGTCCTCCATCCCCAAGCAGGGAACTCGAATCCCTTAATCTTTTTTAGATAATAGTATTTTTTTGAAAAATAAATAAAAACTTTAAATTATAAATAATGTTTTAAATATGTTTTGATATATATATATAGTATAAATAATATATGTCTAATATAAATAACATTTATATATATAATCAGGGTCAGGGCGGGGCGAGGACCTCAATCCCCATCCCCGACCCCATCGGGTTGGGGAAGTTGGGTCCCCGTCAGAGATGGGGAAAATTGCCATCCCCACTCATAACTAGTAATTTATCGTTATTTATGTTTTTGCTAAAATCATATATCAATCAATTATTTTATAAATCCACCTTAATATTTAGAATAAAAATAAAAAATTCATGAACCTCACTTAGGATTAACATAGTGCATGTGAAATCATCTAAACACCAAAACTTTAAAATAATACAAAAGACCCCTCTTATTGAATTAATATTAATTTTAATTAGATAATATGAATCATATTGTGGGCTTTAATATTAATTTAGTACTAAAAAAATGACAATGTTGCAATTGGTTTGGTCAAAACACCCTAGTTTTACTTTCCAACTTTACTCTCAACTTTCTATATTTCCCCATTGTATATATTGCCATTGAAAATAATTACAAAAAACATAAAATTAAGAAAATAAAATAGATTACAACGAAAACAATGAAATACATAGAAAATTTACAAAAATTATAGAAATTCATGGAAATTTCTATATGATACTAAAAAAATGAGAATGTTGCAATTGGTTGGGTCAAAACACCTTGATTTTACTTTTCAACTTTATATTTTTTTCCCATTCTATATATGTTATTACAAAATAATTATGAAAAATCAAATAAAATGAAGAAATAATATAAATTACAAAGAAATACATAAAAAATTTACAACAAATATAGGAAATCATAAAAATTGAAGAAAAATAACATAAATTACAAAGCTATACCATATCAAAAAAATGAGAATGTTGCAATTGGTTTGGTCAAAAAACCCTGATTTTACTTTCCAACTTTACCCTCAACTTTATAGTTTTCCCCATTGTATATATTGTCATTGCAAAATAATTGTGAAAAAACACAAAAAATGAAGAAAATAATATAAATTACAAATAACATCAAACATAGAGAAAATTTACAAAAAATATAAAAAATGAAGAAAAAAACATAAATTATAGAAAATGAACAAAATTTGCATAATAAAATAATAATTTATATCTACTACCATATATAACAAATGAGAATGATCCAATTAGTGTGGTCGAAAGACCCAAATTTTTCATACCGATTCTACCCTTAGCTTTTTTGTTTTTCCAACATATCCCAATTCTATATGATGGTGCATGATAGTAGTTGGCAAAAAAAAAATGTTGTCTTTTCTAAAAAGCCATTGGGTGGGCACTTGGCCCATTAACCCGTTAATGACCTATTTTGGGTTCAACCCAAACCCACCATAATCCAACCCAACTTGCCCAAACCATTAATTTTTCACATAATACATAAATTCTAGAAAAAATAAAACTATAAAAAATACATAATATACAAATAAAGATAGAAAATGTAGAAAATAACATAAATTAAAGAAAAAATAAAAAATGCAAAATAATTATGAAAACATAAAAAACGAAGAAAATAATATAAACTACAACAAACAAAGAAATACATAAAAATGTGGAAAGTCATAAGAATTGATGAAAATAACAAAAATTACTATAATCAAAGAAAACCATAAATTGCAAAAAAATGAATAAAAAATGCATAATAAACCAAAAATTTATAAAGAATATAAAAATGAAAAAAATATAACAAAAATACATAAATTTCATTCCATGGGCCCTATACATGTTTGTTAGTTGGGCCCACGTCTTATAAGGGCATTTTGGCCATTGGGATTGTATGTTCTCATGTGTGTGTTTGTTAAGTAGGGCCTGCAACTCATGTCCTTAGTCGTATGCAACACTATAACACATTGTGAATCGTTTGATTGTTTTATTATTGAACAAACGTGCCTACAAGGTGTTTACATACATGTTACTCTAGTAGTTGGTTGATAAATATTGCTTCCAACTAATTTCTTTACCTCATTTTAGTTAAAAAGTAAGAAGAAAATGTTTTTAGGCATAAATATACGTTATTTAATAGTCATCTTAGATAATAACTTCCACTATTCAATAGTTAATTGAGTAAATTAACATAATAGTTTAGTTTTACTTATAACCATTAATAGTAATTATTTTCATAGGTTAAAAGTTATCACAAAACATGAGATCGGTTAAGAGTGGCATCTCCAATTCTCCATAAAATTTGTGTTTTTTGGGGATGAAATGTATCTATATATAATTTTGTTGAATGTAATTTTATTAGGGGTGCTCACAGTTTGGTTAACCAAACCGTGGGGCATTTTTTGGAACCGAACCGATACTACCAGTTTTTTTGAAAACCGGTAACCGGAACCAAACCGAAACTAGTTGGTTAACTAGTTAACTGGTTGGGTTAACCATTGGTTTGGTTCATCAGTTTTTCAGTTTTTAATTTTTATAATATTATATATATAAATATATAATAAAAAATTATAAATATATATAATGCATATTTATTAATTTATAATATATAAAAATATAATATACATAAATATATAAAAAAATATAGAAATATATGTATACCGGTCGGTTCGGTTAACTGCTGGTTTTCTATATTGGTTAACTAAAACCGAACAGGTACCTTTGTTTTTTTAAAATACCAAATCGATCGGTTCAGTTAATTGATTTTTCGGTTCGGTTTCGATCAGTTTGGTTTTTCGGTTTTGTTTTTTGCTCACCCCTAAATTTTATCATTGATTTGGTGCATTAATGTTTCAATCAAATGCATTTGCAACAAATATTATAAAATATAAAATTTAGATATTGGCATTTTGTGATGATAGTCTTTTTTTATGTATTATATAATTGTCTTAGGACTTGAACGGTATGTAAATTTTCATATATGCCCAAGATTTAAAAGTATAGTCAAACATCACCATCAATATCAAATATCCCGTTATTAAAAGCACAAATAATTAAAGAAGTGGAGCAAAGTGTGATGTGAAGAAAGCTTTTTTTTCCCCCCAAACAGCCAAGCTCTGAGCTATTAATATTCATCTCAGCGTTAAAAAAAAAAAGAGTATCAATGATTGAAAACTCCACATAAGTGAATTTTTGCATATTCAAAGCTTCAGATTTCTGCACCATAATCAACCCCTTCCTCTTACTTTAATGGCATCACAGAATGTGAGTGTGATTCTATAAATAACTCAATTTATTCATACTTGTTAAAGAATGGATACAAGAGAGAGCCCTTTAAAGTATAAAATACCAATAAAGTTGGAGGTGGTTCAATAATAAGACCATGCAACATGTCAAATGTGCAAACAATTTTTTTTTTTTTTTACAATTAAAAAAAACTAGAAGCATAGATGGTTATTAATTATCAGCCAATTTAGGATGACAAAACTTGTTTGTCTAATATGGTTTCAGGGTTCAACCCTGTGATACTTTTGGCAACATCAACCGGATACAATTTTTATGGAAAATTGAGAAGTGAGAACTGTGAGCTTTATCATTATTTTTTACGCTAAAACTAAATTGATAAACCAAAATAGAGCACGGACAACTATTTCAAGCAAAAAGAATCCAAGTTATCTAGCTGTAGTCTTTGTTCTTCTCTATGGTGTTCTTTTATGGTTTTAAAATGTTAGGGTTTTTGCTATTTATATTTATTTTCGTGTTAGAATCTGATCAATATCTAGGGTTTCACTTCCATAAATCCTCTTTTACCATCTTCGGTTTGTGAAGCAATGACCAATTCATTTCAGTACTCGTCGACCAAAAACAGTTTCTATACGACGATCTCAATGCTCCCTCGTCTATGGACTTCGTTCTAGAGTTGATTGACTCGTCCTTATCTCTTTGTCGTCTTCAATTTTAAATCATCATCATTGCAGCTTTATCGAACTTACAACAGAAGTTCTCAGACAAGAGCGGAAGCGAAGAAGATGAGAGTCGACGCAAGAAGCAGAGGTGGAAGGTTTCACAAGGAGTTTGGTTGGAGATTAACGAAATGGAGGAAATGCAGGTGTAGATAGACGAGAAAACAGGGGGTTGGTCGGATGTGTCATGCGTGACCGATTATGACGGGAAATCAGGGCTGAACTCCTCGGCCTCTTCTGCCATTGTAAAAACAATGGGGACGTACCGAAAAACCGCCAGAGACACTGCGACGGAGGCGAAGCCAGTGGGACATACAGGGTGCGTTGTGAAGGCAACGGTGGAGAAGAAGGTGAGAGGTCTAGGGTGTGAGGCAAAGCGGGAGGAGAACGACATGCTGGATGCAATGTGGAAATCGATCGCAGACAGACGGAATCCTGTGACATGATAGTTGAGGAGGGCACCAGAATGGTGAATTGCTATCGTTATGATTGGGTTCAAAGCTCGACTAGAAAATGATCTGTCAATTTATTGTATAGTTTAGGTGTGAGCATTTTCAACCTACCCATTTATTAATGGGTTTGGTTGGGTCGTGTTTGTTTTCAAACATTGATCATCAACCTGGTGGATTTAGTGTTAATGGGTTGGGTGTATTGGGTCACAACTTATGCAAGGCTGCATTTGGTTGCAATGCAATTTTATATGCACTATTACAAATGCATGAAAGTGCAAATGAAAAAAAATATATAAATTCTCATTTAATTTTGTTTTGTGTTTTATTTTATTATGTTTAATGTTTTAATTTATTTCATTTATACTGCAATCAAATAAAATAAACTAAAAATTGAAACAAAAATAAGTCAAAATTTACACTCAATTTATTTACAATCATAATTTTACATCAATACAAATTTACTCGCATCGCAACCAAATATAGCCCAATGAATAACCCTTAACCAATGCCCACATACAGTCATCACAAATTTAATATGTTTTCTCTTATTATCTCTCTCGTCCAACAATTGTGTACCCTTTTCAACTCAAACCAATAGAGCCCAGATTTTACATTGATCATATATCGAGTTTTATTGAGGTTGATCCATGTTTAGATCAAATTATAAATTTCATTCTAATCGGATCGGTTATAAATCGAATCCAAACAAAATGGATAACGTATTTTTTATGCATTGAAAAAAAAAAAAACGTTTTTTGCAGTCCTATTCGTGCTAAGGCCTGAGAGTGAAGTCAGTACAGGGTTAGAATTTTTAGGCTCAAATTACAGTTGAAATAGGTGCCAGCTCAAAACTGATGCTAATTCACGGTATTATGTATTCTGTATAAAACGAAGGTTTTTGACATTTTGAATCTTTATAGTTCTCCAGTACAATTTAAAAATTTGCATTGAACTTATCCGTACTTTTTCGATTTTATTACTACGTGTCACATTTTAATTGGATTGTCCACTATCGACAGGTAACGGCCCAGTTAGCCCATTAATATTGTTTATTAACCAAATCCTCTTGAATGCCCTTGGCTTTCTGATATTTCCATTTCAGTACCCATTCGTTCACGCTTGCAATCAAGCATTTATTTGCGTTCAACTGGTCTTTGTTTCTTTTTTGCCCCCGTTTCTCCCTAGAAACCCTAAAAAAACCCGTCTTCCCCCTCCCATCTCAGCCCCCATATCGGTCGATCTTTCGGTCATACTCTTCTTTGTTGCAGAGGAACATCGTGATCCGTCAAATTGCTTTGTTCCTCTGCTTTTCTTTCCAACTTGTAAAACATAACAAGAAACCCTAGCCCTAATCCTCGAGTGGAGATTAGCTTTGTCTCCTATTTGCATCCGAAGGAGAGGAGGAGGGAGAGGAGAGAAGCAGTGAATAATTGAAGTTGGTACGCTAACGATCGTGTTCTTCTTACTTGTGGCTCTGTTTCACGAGATCAATACGCATATTTTAACTGTTTTTTTATTCATTTACTTGGATCCCCGGAAGCCTTTATTTATTTATCATATTTAACCTGCTTTTTGAGATTTCAGGTTTGTTTTTTCCTCATTGTCAAAATGTTTCTCCAAGTGCATTTTCCACTTACTAATTTCTCCTAATTTTCGTCTTCTCCACTTTATAATTTATCCAATATGTTCTTTTTCTTTGTGAGTAATTGTGCTTATTTATTTTCCATTTATATCAAAACATGTTTCTAATGTAATTACGTTTACAATTATTGTTGTAGTTGCTTTATGGCTTGTTGCTGCTGCTGTTGTTGTCGTTGTTATTTGTGTGTTCGTGTGAGCTTTATTTTAATCTACATTGGTTTTAATTAATCGTGCTTTTGCTTTTTGCAAAAGAACATTTTATAGCTGATGCACTGAAACCAACTTGTACTGTACTGTACTGCTTTTTCAGGTTGGTTTTGAAATAGATTCCTTATTCATGGACTAGCTTTGCAATTTTACAGTATATTATTCATTTTGCATCTGTATTTTTTTACCCTGTCAAGAGGAGCAAGGGTATTGAGCGGAAACAAGTATATGATTTTTTTTTTTTTTTTGCTGCAGATATTCTTTTACAACTTCATAGGAGCTACCACCTGTGGCTCTGGTTCAAGAGGTAGCAAAGTTTTCCATATTCCTTGCATTTTAATTGCATGTGATGTTAAGGCATGTATCTGAAGTTTGCTAAGTATTGAATATTTGGAAGTTTAGGCATTTATCAAGTTGGCAGGGAGCATTCTGTACTTGTTTTAAAAGATGACATGACATGCCCTATGTTTGTTGAAAGACAAAAACCATGAATTATAGCTTTTGAAATTTTAAGTTCTAATGGATTTTTGTTCTTGGTTAAATGCCTGATAAGCCAATTTTTTACTTGAGTTCCCACCTATGGTACCTGGACAGGACAAGTGTAGGACCACCATGGAAAACAACATGGCTTTTCATTTAAAATTTAAGTAACAAACATTAAGAAGAGTTCTGTCTAAATTACTGGGGAAACATAGAGAGACTGCCTTCTTGTGTTCCTAAGATGTCATGAAAAAGACCAGTACTTTAACAGATAGATGAGCTGTAGTTCAGATCCACAGGTTAATCAAGCACCAGAGGTTTCATTTTCTCAAGGTTGCTATGGTCGTATTTTGCATGTTGATGCATTGCCACTCCCTACTGATTAAATCACTATGACTCTTATTCTTGTATTTTTATAGTCAAAACATCTTGTTGCTTTTGCAGAAGCACTGAAGCACTAGAGTTTAGACATATGATGTGAACAGAGATTTTATATTCTGAGAAAATTTTAAATATTTGATGTTTAAAAAGGGCAGCCCAGTGCACAAGGCTCCCACAAATGCGGGGTCTGGGGAGGGACAAATGTATGCAGCCTTACCCCTGCACATACAGAGAGGCTGTTTCCAAGAGTTGAACCCTGGTCACCCAAGTTGCAATGGAGCAACCCAACCGTTGCACCAAGGCCCACCCTTCAAAATCATAATTAATCTTTTGCTAATCTTGGTATTGGTTACTATTATTAGCAAATGAATGTAGATAAAGGGAGCATATAGATAGTGTCCACACTCCACAAAGGGATAAGAGTCGCAAGAAAAAACATGAAATTTCTCCATGATAATTAATTTCCATTGGGTGTATATGAGCAATTGTTATATTTTTTTGTAAACAATTCTGACATTTTGTTCCAACTTTGTTGGCAACCAAATGTCATCTATAGAAACTTATTGCTTTAAGGTTGAAATAGAGAAATAGGGTAGAAAACAAGAATACAAGGATAAAGGCAGGTATTAAGAGGAAATGAGTAGGAACTAGGAAAAAAAGAGGAAGGGCTATAAAACAAAATTAAGTTTTTCTTTTGGTATTATATACATCAAATTTTTCTTGAAACTCAAAAGGATTACTGAAATTCTACAAAAAATTTAGCCCAAATTTCCATTTTGGACGATGTTGAAACATGGTTCAGTAGTGTTGGATGGAATCAGACATGGGAACTGGAATCTAATGCATGTCCAGGAGTCTGATTCAATGTACCCAAAAAGGTGAAAATAATTTACATGAAGGAGCCAATGCTTTTGATGTAACAGTGGTTGGGGATTTTGGCAGGGAATGCCGGTTTGAGTGAGGATGATTATATTTGGGTGGTAACTCATCTCCCACCCACAAAGAAGGAAACTAGAGTTTTGGTTGAAGAGAAGGGGATCTGAAGTTGATAAGGGTGGGGAACACTCTTCAGATGTGAGTCCATAGAGTGAGTTTATTAGACTGTCATCCCCTCTCGAAAAAAAAATAAAAAAAAAGATGTGGGCTGGTCTATGGTTGGGGTTTAAAGTCTGATAAAGCGGAATGCATTGAGGTGATTTATTCACAGACTATGTGTGGACTTGGGTTGTTGCAGGTGAATAAATCAGGGAATTACATCAATTTTGAACAATGGATGGAAGGGTGATTTGACTATTCAAGATTATGTGATGAAAAGATAGAAATGTTAGTATAGGTAGAAAGGTGAAAGGGCCAAAAGAATCAATGTTTAATTCATATTATCAAAGAGTTTTTGAGATTTAAAATTGGACTCTGTGGACCTGTACCATGTAAATAGTTTAGAAGGGTTTACAAAAGAAAGGGAATAAAGATCCTTCTTACTGATGTTGGATGGATGAAGAGATGTGGGATAATTTTGGAAGATGGTGATATTGAGTGTAGTGAACACCTCAATTATCATCCCATTCTTTTCATGTTCAAGATAAGACTTGGATAATTGAGGATAAGATTCATAGATCTGTTGTGGAAGGTAATTTGATAGATCTGAGAAAGATGATGAAAGTATTTAACTAGTCTGGGTATAGAGGTTAAGGAAGAAGCAGAGGTAGAAGCTGCATAAGGTGTTATTCCAAATGTTGAAGATTTCCAAGTAGTCAAGTAGAGGTGCGGGTCACGTGGATTTGACTGTTGGAAAAGAAGTTGAGGTTGGCAAGAAGTTGGGCCTGTTCTTAGGAGGTGAAGAGTCTTTGAAGAAAGCGTTTATTTACGCTAGAAGGAGTCATGGATTAAAATTTTGAAAATTTATCCATCGAATAAAACAAGCAGGTTGAAATTAAATGGCTTGGCTGAAAGAGGGGGATAGGAATACACATTTTTTTCACAAAATGGCAAATGCCAGAGCTAGAGCTTATATAATTACTAGGCTGGAGGGAGAGGGCAGGGTAGGTCTTACTGAGACTGATATGAAGCTTGTGGCAACTAGCTTTTACAAGAAGCTGTATAAGGAGTCTTGGTTCTTCAGACCTTTTCCTAGATCGCTTTCTTTTAACCAGTTGAGTGATGAGCAGCAGTCTTCCCTTATTGAGAGACCTTTCTCTGAGGAGGAAATAAAAGAAGCTATCAAGTTGTTGGCTGATGAGAAGTCTCTAGGGCCCGATGGTCTTACAGATCTCTTCTATATTAAATGCTGGGATGTGGTGAGACAAGGCATCCTGAATGTCTTCCAGGATTTTTTTGAGAGGGGTTCTTTGCAGAGAAGTCTGAACACTACCTTCATTACCCTCATTCCAAAGATTGAAGGTGCAGTGAATATAAAGGATTTCAAGCCGATTAGTCGTCTGCATGGCTTCTACAAAATTCTAGCTAAAGTACTTGCTAAGAGATTGAAAGAGTCCTTGGTAGTGTTATCTCAAATAACCAAAGTGCTTTTATTCCGGGTAGGAAGATGCTGGATTTTGTTCTTATTGCCAATGAGCTCATTCACTTCAGGAAGAAAGAAGGTTCCCTAGGGTTGATCTATAAACTTGATATTGAAAAGGCCTATGATCATGTTAACTAGAGATGTGTGGACCTTGTGCTTCGTCAGATGAATTTCGGGCAGAAATGGAGGAAATGGATTAAAGTCTGTATCACTTCTCCAAAGTTCTCAATCTTGGTTAATGGATAGTCCACAGGTTTCTTTGATAGTTCTAGGGGTCTTAGACAGGGAGACCCTCTATCTCCTCTTCTATTTATATGTGTAATGGAGACCCTCACTCTTTTCTGTAAGAAGGCTGCAGTTTTAGGTGAGTGGGAAGGTTTTGCAATTGTGCCAGGGGGAGAGAAGGTGAATATTCTTCAATTTGTAGATGATATATTGTGCTTTGTAGATGCCTCCCCCTCTTAGGTGGAGTTAATCCTTGGGATTTTGTCTTGGTTTGAAGTGATAACGGGTCTAAAAGTAAACTGGAACAAGAGCCAAATCATCCCAGTTGGCCATGTTTCCAATTTAGCATAGTGTGCTGGTATTTTGGCTTGTCAAATTGAGTCCCTTTCAGTCAAATATTTGGGACTCCCGCTAGGGGTGAGTGGTGGTTCCTCTGCAATTTGGGACCCAGTTATTGAGAGATTGGAAGGGAAGCTGGCTTCTTGGAAGGCAAAATACCTCTCATTTGGGGGGAGGGTGATTCTGATTAAGAGTACTCTCTCCAATTTGCCTACCTACTTCTTGTGTCTATTCCATATTCCTAAGAAGGTTGCAAATCAGATTGAAAAGCTTCAAAGGAGTCTTCTTTGGAGAGGCTGGGAGGAGGAGAAAAAAATTTACTTGGTGACTTGGGAGCAAGTCCGTTTTCCCAAAAGTGAAGGGGGGTTAGGTATTAGGAAGTTGAATTCTTTTAATTCTGCTCTCCTCTGTAAATGGATTTGGAGATTTGCTGTAGAAATTGATGCTTGGTGGAGATCTCTCATTGCCAGCAAATATGGTGTGAGTTGGGGCAATTGGAGAACTAGGGACCCTGCCCCCATCTGGGGTAACTCTCTGTGGAAAGGGATAATGAAGAACTTTTCAGCTCTGGCTACGGGGGTCTCAGTTAGGGTTGGTAATGGTAACGGGACCAAATTCTGGAAGGACCCTTGGTGCTCAGATGATCCTCTTGCTGAGTCCTTCCCACTCCTTTTCCAGTGTGCTTCAGATCAAGAGGCCTCAGTTGCAGAGTGTTATAGTATTTCCAGTGGTTCAGTCCTTTGGACTCCCTCATTTCGAAGGAATCTTTTTGATTGGGAGGTGGCAAAGGTTGTGAATCTCTTGACCTGTCTTCAAAACCAAGAGTTGGATTATAGTTCGGTGGATAAGTGACATTGGAAGTGGCACTCTGATGGGATGTTTTCTCTTAAATCTTTGGCTGCTATTCTTGGTAGGAGGGGTGCTCCTGATTCCCAGTTCGGCAAGTGTGGAATCCTAACAGCCTGGCTAAAGCAGGCTTCCTAGTTTGGACTATGGCTCTTAATAAATGTCTTTCTAAGGAGAACCTTGTGAGAAGGGGAATTCAGGTTTCGGACTTGACTTGCAGTTTATGTGGGAGCAATGTTGAATCTACTGATCATTTGTGTATCCACTGTCTGTTTTCTGCTCAGTTGTGGAACCATTTCCTCAACTCTTTGAAGGATTGTTGGGTGATGCCAAGGTCGGTAAAAGAGATGTTGTGTTGCTGGCAGATTATGGGTTTGAGCAAGAAAAAGAAGACTATTTGGAAGATGATTCCAATTGCTGTAATTTGGTGCATCTGGACCAAGAGGAATAGAAGGGTTTTCAGCAACAAGTTTCTAAGTCTGGAAGACTTAATTCAGAAGTCAGTGGGCAAGCTGATT